AATAGGCTTTTAAAGGAAACCTTTTATTTTATGCTGTCACCAAAATAGCAATTACAAGGAAAATAGGGATAAAACATTTAAAAATAAGCTTAGGACTTGTTATAGAAGTCTGCAATCCAGTTTTTGCCCTGTTATCTGGTTTGAAAAATTAATCCAAGTAATCCTCTTTGAAGCTCACTGTTTCCAGGATGGGTTATACAGAACAAAGACTAACTGATATCCCAAGGACATTAGTTTTCAGTGTTGTTCTATTCTACTGAGAATGATTCTCCAATGGCCACTTTTTCTTCTTCCCAGGCTATGGGAATTCATTAATATCTAGAGACCAGACTTAAATAAAACCATTGTCTCAACCAGCAGGTTTATGCAACCATCCTGAAATGTTTTAATTATTGTTTTCTTTTCCTTTTTAATTAAGAGACCAGAGGTCAAGCAGGCCCACTGAGAGCTGAGCGGAGCCTCGGTAGAAATGTAAAGACAACTCTAATGATGGGACTTGCTGTTTTTTGTCTTGCAGAACCAGAAGAGTGCATTAATTGCACAGATGAATGCCTAGTGCTTGGTCATTCTGACAGGTGTTGGATGCCACAGTTCCCTGCAGCCAATCAGGCTGAAAACGCAGATTACCGCACAAATCTCTTTGTACCCACAGTGGAAGCTAATGTTGAGACGGAGACTTACGAAACTGTGAACCCCACTGGGAAAAAGACCTTTTGTACATTTGGAAAAGACAAGCGAGAGCACACTATTCTCATTGCCAATGTTAAACCTTACTTAAAAGCCAAACGTGCCCTGAGCCCTCTCCTCCAAGAGGTGCCCTCCGCATCAAGCAGCCCCACCAAGGCATGCGTGGAGCCTTGCACCTCAACGAAAGGCTCTCAGGATGGCTGCGAGGCGAAACCAGGAGCCCTGGCCGAAGCCAGCAGCCAGTATTTGCCCACTGACAGTCAGTATCTGTCGCCCAGTAAGCAACCGAGAGACCCTCCCTTCATGGCTTCCGATCAGATGGCAAGGGTCTTCGCCGACGTCCACTCCAGGGCCAGCCGGGATTCCAGCGAGATGGGGGCCGTTCTCGAGCAGCTTGACCACCCCAACAGGGATCTGGGCAGAGAGTCGGTGGATGCGGAGGAAGTCGTGAGAGAAATTGATAAGCTTTTGCAGGACTGTCGGGGAAATGACCCTGTGGCTGTGAGAAAGTGAGAGGAGGAAAACCAACAACAACAACAAAAGCATTGGCATTTTCTGATCTCTTCTGTTGATGTAAAAATGATCCCTCCTGGTGACAGTTTAGAGGGATGAAGAGACCAATGCTGCTTTAAGGCTTTCCGTGAACATCTGAAGTGCCCACAAGTATGTCCTTTCCACTGCTATTTTTTTTTCCAGAGATAACAATGGTTGTGTTTTGACCAAACTTATATTAGGACAGAATTGATGATGCTCAAAGAGGAAAGAAAAACAGAGAAGAAAGAGGAGGATGAGGAGGCAAGATACCTTTTGACCCTCTGTTAGGAGGTATGGTGGGAGAAGTGAAGTGTTCCTGATCACTGTTAGACTGTCCTCCGTGACTTACGCTGACTCCACTGTTTACCTATTAACCCCACACAAAGCAGGGTCATAATGTGTGCTCTGTGGTGGATTTTTAGCAGTCACCACAGGCTTCTACTGAAAGTCCCGCAAAGACCTTGCAGTAGTCCAAGCTACACCAAACATGAATACATATTTGTGGTAAGCATTTCTGTACAAAGTTACCTGCCACACATATCAACACAAAGAACATTCCATATCATTAGTTGAAAAAAAATTAAAAATACTTGGTCATTTGTAAGACGCCTCATGTCGTATAAAAGTTAAGTGTAAAAAGATATAGTCCATTTTGTCCTGCACACACACAGACTAATTCACTTCATTAAAAGAGAAGAAAATTTGACGTTTTAAAATTTCTCTCTAGCATTTTAGTGTCCTACAAATATATCAATAATGATGGATATATTTTTAATTTGACCTAGAAAGATTCTGAAAAGGAGTTACCATTGAGTAATACTATTCAGAGAAAATTAACATGATTAAAGTGTTTTACTTATTTGTGGACACTAAAATAGCTTAGGAAAGGGAAAATGTCTTAGACATACACCAATCACATGATCATTTATATGTGCAAATGTAAGAAGATTCAATGTGTTTACATCAAATGACATATTTTTATTGATTTATTGCAGATTCAGTGCATATGAGCCAAATTGTTGAGTGTATAAGAGCTATATTGTGTATTTTATTAAATTAATATATAGTTGTGTTGCAAAAATATTTGGGCTTATATTGTAAATGGCAAGTGTTGCCTCAGTAGCTGTCGAACTCTATGAGTTTTGTTTTTTCCTGCTTCCTTTTCCCCATGGAGTGTGGGAAGCAGTGCCTCAGAGCAAAGTCTCTTGTTTAATGTATAGTCTACCAAGTACTACAGTACATAATCTGTTCAAAATGTGTTTGAGTGAGCCGATGGAGCTATATGAAAGGTCAGAAAATACATCTGTCAGTCATGGTTATGTGCAAGTCCTTGTAGAAGCTTTTATTAAAGTCATGCTAAATCACAAGAATGGCATTTGTACCAATACCTGAAATTTCTTCATGTTTTCTCGATAACAGACAGTTTCTGCCTCTGTAGATATCATACTGTTGATTGGTTTTAAAAGTATCTGATGTGGTTCAAGATGTGTGTTCCCATTGATTTCAAAACCATGAAAAATGCTTTAATGCATGTGTGATACCAGCCCTGGTTATTTGCATTGTGTAGTGTTTTTCAAGAGGCCTGGGTCTTAACAGAATGTTTTCCATTTTTCTCAATGTTCTTCTGCCTCTTTTTATTGGTGTCCTTTGAGAAAAATACACCTCCTATTCCTTCATTTGCTTGCACTTTTTTTCTTGTGTCATTTAGCAAGTTTCAAACTTACTTCCATGTGAGGCTAGGAAACCTCAAATTTCAGGAATTGGGAAAAATAAAATTAGCACTTGCAGAAGTAGCAGCAGATGGGAAAATGCCTTGATTGACATTTTCCTTCAGTGTTAAAATTTTTTGGCATTTTACAGCTTCATGACAAACAGCTTCCAGCCCATACCTTAGAAAATGTGGTGCTGAGTTAAATAAAGGCTGTTTGTGCACTGGAGCAGAAAAATGCATTATTTGCAAACTGGTGGAGAATTCTGTGCCTTCTTTTCTGGCCACCAAGCCAGTGTAGAAACAGCATAAATGTCATAAAATTCCTAGATTAACAAAAACAAGAGTGAAAACAAACACTGAACTGAATTAAGCTTTGTAATTTTAAACCTCAATGAATTCAACTGAAAATATTTCCCTCAAATGCTGTCAAGGTTTTAGACTGTACCTCCTTTGCAAATTGCTTTGAAGGGAAGAGTGAACAACTCCCATCAGCCTTATTCTCTGGAGAACTGTATTTGGTTCCTAGTAGCAGCCTTTCCAAAGCTCTATTATTGGTTTTTATCATTTGTAAATGTTTAAATTAGAAAAGAAGGGATCTTGTACATGTGAAACCGAATTGACTGTCTATATTTTGGACAATTTATGTATCTGAAATGTGTTGTCTCTGTTATCTGATGTTACTTTTTTGCCGGGAGACCACAGGTTGCTTTAGCTTGATAGCAGACATTTGATGGATTTCCATTTAGTCTTACCAAGTGTTGCTTCTCTCTGACTAGACAGATAGCCACTTAGTAAAATCTAAGGCAGTGTGTAAATGACATAAAAAAGAGATTAGGGTTTATTTTTAAAACATTCTTAACTTTGAGTAACCAGTTGTTCAATTTAGTATATGTGTCTGAAGACATCACAATGCTATAAGACGTTAAGAATTGGTGTGCCAATGTGTGAGGGGTTTCCCTTTCGGCTCTCTGTCATCAGTGATTTACTAGTGTTAGCTGTTTAACACGTTATCTGCTTTTAGTAGTGGTTGTTTATTTGCAAGTTGGTGGTAATTCAGCAGCCAGGACTCTAAGCTTTTATAACAAAATTGAGGGGATCTTGCTCTTCTTCATGCTGGCAACTACCTTTATCACAGACCTCTGGTGCTTGACTTCCAAGGAAGTCTATGAGATGCCAAAATCACCCTTTTGGGGAGCAACTTGCTCTAAGAGGTGTCACACAATCAAACATCGATGTTTCAAGGGGTTTCAGCACCACTCAGAATATAAAAAATTAATTCACATCCCCATTTACTAACCCTCAGAAAAACTCCACACATTCAAAACGAATACTTTGATTATACTTTTTCTTTTAGGTTCTTAAATAACTAATGTCAAGCACAGAATAGTAATTTATATGAATTTTCATAAGAAAGTCAACGTTTTAAAAATTGTTTACTGATGAACCAAAAAAATCAGTAACAAAATCTTTCCATAACATGCTAATGATGAAAGATCTTTTCATCAAAGTTAAAAGTAGTAAGAATCAGTGTTAGTTATACCTATACCAAGGTAAACATTAAAGAGACATCTCACACAATTTCAAACAATGGTTTCATATTATTTCTTAACCTGACATCCAATTGCAGGCAATATACAAAGATTGGCTCACTGCTCTATTAACTAATTGAATTCCTGACTTAGAAATTGACTTGTTTTTTCCCCCTAAATTAGCAGAGATCTCGTAAAATATGACTTCCCTGTAAAAGATCTAGGCACTGCTCGATTTAAAAAATGACACCATAAAAATATGGTCATGTAGTAAGAGAACAGTACTCTTTATTAGAACCAGATTAAAAACTGTTCATTGCCTAATGGAGTAGAAGTTGCTGAGGTCAACTGGGAAACTGAGGTCTGGCATAATATATGCCCACTCATCATTGTCTAATTATATTATATTATTTTGACAACAGACAGCATTTATTAGAGCATTAATTCAAATGAGAGTTTTGGCTATCAAGATGTGTTTTGAAACATAATTGAATGAGACCTGATTAAAGGCTGACTTTCCTGGCCCCAGTGTTTTGCAGGTTGGCTATTTCCATATATCAACTCCATCACACCATAAGGTTCTTAGCTGCACCAAGTGATTGGTGAACAAAGACAACAGCAAAAGCAGCATACATTTTATGGATTTATCTCAATGCTATTATTTAATGGCTGTGTTTATGTGACCTATCTGGAAAATGAGGACTCCGAATAAAAAGCTATTACTAATAGTGGCATTGCATTCCCTTGGATTCATTAACACACAAGTGTTGTGTTACACACTGCATGCCCCAGGGACCCTGGTCATAATTCATTCGGAAAGCAACTGTGGCAGCACAACTGTTTATGCTAGTTATTTGTTTGCCAGTAAAATAAGACTTTAAAAAATTGTATGTAACAATAATGTCACTGAGTTCTCTCAGAAATGGGTTAACAGTCATCCAGATTGTTTGGATAAGTTGACTAGTCAAATGATTTCCAGGGATTCATACTATAAAGAAACTTGTGGTTTTTAATATTTAAAACTGGTTTGAGGGTAATTTGGTATAAGATCCTACTACTCCAGGATTTTAGAAATAAGCCCTCTCATAATCTTGCATTATTGACGAGAGTACATATTTATAAATGACATTTTAAAGTAAATACATGTTCATCTTAGCAACTTAAAATAATAAGCTTCTCTTTCTACTCCTTCAACAAACATCGACTGAATTTCTGTTGTGTGTTTGCCGTGGGCTGTTATGCCCCAGGAGTAAACAGTAAACAGGGATTGATGCCTGGGTCACAGCCTGGTGAGAGAAGCACATAGGTAAGTTCTAATACACATGACTGTTTATAAATTGGATTTAATTGTTTGCATTTTCCTCAGTTGCTCCACAATCTGACTCTCAGCGAGGGGCATCTCTTAAATTACAAATAAACATAATAGTCTGCCCATTTAGATTTTCTTTTAATTTTAGTTTTCTGGTTAGGGCATAACTTATATCAAGAAAACTGCATTGCTTTTTCATGCTGAAGAAGATGTTTAAGTTTTACAGTTATTGGGATAGACTCCATGGTTTATCTACTCATTCTTCTGTTCATTTTGTTTGTCGACCTCTCTGTTTCTTTTTCATTGAGCATCACTTAGGTATCAGGTGCTTCACAAGGACCCTGGGGTACGAAGAACTACACCAATTACATTTTACCCTCAGAGTACTTATAGTTTGTGCCTAGGTGAAATACATTACACTAAAATAGAAATTGACCTTATGTTGCCATGACAACATTACTTTTGTATAATGAAAATAAATTCATTCTTAAGAAGAACAAAAGCTACATGCCTTTCATGCCATTCACTGCTTTCAAGAGTGAAATGAGAGCAAGCTGTTCATTGACTCAATTGAACCATCTAATCAGTGTTGAGAGAGCACTGAGGTGCTGAAATGAAGAACCTACCTGGCCATGCTACAGTCAGGAGGAAGTGATGAATGAAACATATATTACAGGCTTACTTCATGGCAATGAATGATGGCAGTCCCATGAATTATGTTTTTTAAGTAGATATCCTGACAAGTTACAATTATTTAATAATTGTAGACAACAACTTTGTAAACTATGAACAGAACCCATTCTTAAAGTTCATCAATGTGGCACACAGAAATAAATCGGCCAGTTAATGGACCATCCTCAAACCTCTTCAGTATGTGTTTGTGAGAGGGTTGCACATGGTTCACCAAGGAAATGTATCATTTTCTGCTCATTTTAGACACTATAATACTGGACAAACCACTGTACATTAGGAATTAAATTCTCAATATTCTTAAAAGAGGGTCCCCATTTTTAGTATTTTAGAGTCATAAAATATTACTGTTTTTTTCCAAACTAGTTTAAATGGTAATGAGTATCTTACATGCAAAGATGGATTAAGGGGGGAAGACTTCAGGGAGCATTTGCAAACTGTCTCACACCAGTTGACATCACCCATTAGATCAAGAAAACTATTTTATTTTTGTCTTACACATGAAACACTTCACTTTAAAAGGAACTTAATATTTATTCCCCTCCTTTTTAAACGCATTAAATTATCTGTATCGTTTTAATAAATAACATTTTGAGTATGATTTATTTAAAAATCTAGTTGCCTGAAGTTATGTTATTCAGTCAAACTGTTCATAATATTGTTTTATGATTGTTAAAAAAACAAACATTAAATTTGGAACCCTCTCTCTGTTCACTTTATACAGATTGTCATATTTCGTGGAAAATATTGGCGTTCATCATTGCTTGCATGAAAATCATTCTTACTTCCCTAAGGGTTTTCAGCACCAGGAAGACTGACTAAGAGTTACACAAATATAAATTAATACTGATACATTCTGCTTGTAGAGAACTTTCCAATTTACAGAGCATTTTCACAAAATTATAAGACAGTACAGAGTTAAGGATTCTGAAGCTTAACAAGGCAAGTGCACTTATTCAAGGACATTAAGCTAGGAAACCTTAAGACCACACTGAACCGAAAGTCCTGTTACTGTGTTTGTTTCAGATTTTGTGAATCTGCAATCTTGTCCTATCTAATCTTTTGCCTCTCTAGTGTCGTACATTTATCATCTGAAAAATTATATTATGCTAGTAATATTCCTCCCCCTATAAATTAACAGTCACATCATAGAATTTAGATAGCCTCTATGTTAATTGTTCATAACGGTAGTAAATAAATCAAAAAGCAGAGACTAGGAATGACAGTTTCCAAGAAAATATAATGACATAAGAATTGTGCTTCCTTTATGATACCCTCAGCTTTTTTACCTTGGTGTTATGTTCTCAAAAATATTCTAAAAGGCCCTGACCGGTTTGGCTCAGTGGATGGAGTGTTGGCCTGAGGACTGAGGGGTCCTGGGTTCGATTCCGGTCGGGGGTATGTGCCTTGGTTGTGGGCACATCCCCAGTGGGGAGT